GAATATCAGATTGGAGGAGAGAAATTTGGAGGAGGGGAACGGATTCAGATATTTGGGAAATGGACGTGGGCCAGCAGATGGTCTATGAAAATGAGGTGAATCATAGAATGATGAGGGAAAAAGAGTGAGTGGGGCACTTAGGAGTCTGTGGAGAAAAGAGAACTTTTTCCTTGGAGGGAAAGAGGGGAATGTATGAGAGTATAGTTTTACCAACGCTCTTATATGGGGTGAAGCATGGTGATGAATGTTGCAGCGAGGAGAAGGCTGGAGGCAGTGGAGATGTCATTCTGAGGGCAAAAGTGTGGTGTGAAATAATGCAAGAATCGTCGTTTTGGAATTAGGAGGAGGTGCGGGATTACCAAAAAATGTTTGTCCAGAGGGCTAGGAAGGGTTGTTGAGGGGGTTCGGACATGTAGAAAAATGGACAAACAGAATAACTTCAAGAGTGTATCAGTCTGTAGTGGAAGGAAGGCGGGGGAGGGGTCGGCCTAGGAAGGGTTGGAGGGAGGGGTAAAGGGGGTTTTGTGTGCGAGGGCTTGGACTTCCAGCAGCATGCGTGAGCGTGTTTGATAGAGTGAATGGAGACAAATGGTTTTTAATACTTGACGTGCTGTTGGAGTGTGAGCAAAGTAACATTTATGAAGGGATTCAGGGAAACCGGCAGGCCGGACTTGAGTCCTGGAGATGGGAAGTACAGTGCCTGCACTCTGAAGGAGGGGTGTTAATGTTGCAGTTTAAAAACTGTAGTGTAAAGCACCCTTCTAGCAAGACAGTGATGGAGTGAATGATGGTGAAAGTTTTTCTTTTTCGGGCCACCCTGCCTTGGTGGGAATCGGCCAGTGTGATAAAAAAAAAATAATATCAACTCTACAGCTTATTTATCTATCACATTTCAACTAATATGATATAATAAACAATATTAATAACATAGAAACGTGGAATATACTCTAGAATGAATTAAATAAGTCATTATGTATGTCACGAGAGGTGTTGTGTTGTTTTTGGGTATATAAGGGCCACTGAGAGTAAGCCGTCCATAATGGTGGTGAAGCAGCAGCTGAGGTGGTGGTGTTTTCTATAGCCCTATACAACTCCAACAACATTGGAGTTGATAGAATTGCTGAATCACTAAAGAAGACACCCTCTACCACTATTACAACTGTTACCAACATCACTACTACCTTCTACCACCATCAACCACTATCACAACTACTTCCACTCTACCACCACCGCCTTTGTATTTTTCTACAAACTTTTTCATAGATTATACGTGTTTCTCACATTCTTTACCAAAGGGCTGGCACCAGAAGCTTTCTTTGGAGCCATGGTAGCTTATTTAGCACTTGCAAGCACTAAAATCAATGGAATATTATGAAATATTTCATAGGAGCAAGTTAGGGGACCGTCACTCACTGGTAAACAATGGAACACTGGCTGGAAAGGCAGGCCCCGGCGGCTCAGAGCGTGAGTACGCGTCCCAGACGCAGGACAATTAGCGAGTTAACGGGGACCTTTGCAAAGCACAATGTTTGACGAAATAATGGGGGACTACATGGTATTTCCGATGGAAGACTTTTCAGGCAGGACGATTTTGAGTGACCATTGATATAGACAAAAAGCCTTGGGTGGATCCCTAATTGTCAGACTAAAATGCACAATTTTTTTTTTTACCTCCAGTACTGTTAGATGGACTGCTATCAATATCTTACGGAGTAATTAGACCTAAATGTAAAATTAATATGTAGATATTTAACCCTTCGAGGGTCAAGACCCCCAATCCTAAACTCATTCTCAGGGTTGAAAAATATTAAAACTAAAATTATTTTTTCTGATGAAATGATAGAGAACGAGTGTTATAGGCCCAAAAAAAATTTTTGCGATTAATACTTAGAGATATGGAGGCGTGAAATTGACAAAGGGAACCATTTACAGCAACATTGCCGACTGCCAGTCACCCGGTAATTGTTTATTTTCTCTCTCTTCTTTCATTTTTTAACATTTTATTTTTTCAAGTAACTTTTATGGCCTGTGAGACCAATATAAGCCATATTTTGGATATATTCACTCGGCTGTATGCTACACTATTATAATTACAGTGGTACCTCAGGATACAAACAGCTCAAAACTCGAAGAATTATGTAAGTGTATTTTTGGGGGTCTAAAATGGATTAATCTAATTTACATTATTCCTTATGGGAACAGATTCGTTCGGTATCAGCACTAACAGCCTTCTGGAATGAATTAAGTTCGTATCCCGAGGTACTATCTGATATTACCCAATATCATGGATGGGTGAGCGCTAAACCCATAGGATTATACAGCACATGGGGGGGGAAGATGGAAGGTATTCAGGCTCAATTCAGGGAACCAGAATACAGATCCAATTCCCTAGATGAAGAGCCCCTCACCAGCATCAAGGAACCTCCCTTGAGGGGATGCGACACAATAATGCAACAACATGCTGTCATTATATAGTTTACAAAAAATGATTTGCACAAACATTCTCTCCAAACTCTCTCCAGGTAAACTCCAGGTAATTACTATTTTTCTATCTCTCACACACACACACACACACACACACACACACACACACACACACACACAGAGAGAGTCCTGGACACATTCCTAGAACTGGTAGAGCTTCTGGAAGCTTATGTGTGGGTGGACTTTTAAATATGCTGAATCACCAGCATGCCTTGTATCACAATGACACATTACACCTTCACCCACTAACCCTCACGGCCTTCCCCATCCCACCAACCCACATGGAAGTCACTTACTTTTTTTGGGTTATCCTACGTTGATGGTTGTCTGGGTCATCCTTCCATCCTTTCCTTCTTCCTACCTACTTTCCCCTCCTACCTTCCTACCAACCTTTCTTCCGACCTACCTTCCTTCCTACCTATCTTCTTCTTCCTTCCTCCCTCCTACTTGCCTACTTCTTCCCTTCTCCTTCCTTCTCCTTCCTACCTTCCCTTCCTACCTTCACCTTCCTACCTTCCCTACCTACCTACCTACCTACCTTCCTTCCTTCCTTCCCTCCTACCTACCTTCCTTCCCTCCTCCTACTACCTTCCTTCCTTCCCTCCCTCCTTCCCTACCACCTACCTTCCCTCCCTCCCTTCCTTACCTACCCTCTCTCCCTCCTTCTACCTACTATCCTCTCTCTTTCCTGCCCTACCTTCATCCTCCTTCCTATTTCCCTTCCTCTTCCTACTTTCCTTCCTTCCTCCCTGGCATGCCTACCTACTACCTCTCCCCCTCTCTCTCTCCTACCCTACTACCTTCCTTCCGTCCCCCTCTCCCTCCTTCCACCTACCTACCTTCCCCTTCCCTCTATCCTAACTACCTAACTTCCCTCCTCCCTCTTTCTACTACCTACCTTCCTCCTCTTTCCTACCTACCTACCTTCCTCCCTCCTCTTTCCTACCTACCTACCTTCCCTCCTCCCTCTTTCCTACTACCTACCTTCCCTCCCTCCCTCTTTCCCTACCTACCTACCTTCCCTCCCTCTTTCCTCACACCTACCTATTTCCCTCCCTCTTTCCTACCTACCTACCTTCCTCCCTCTTTCCTACACTACCTACCTTCCCTCCTTTTCCTACCTACCTACTTCCCTCCCTCTTCCTAACTACCTACATTCCCTCCCTCTTCCTACCTAACCTACCTACCTCCCTCTTCTATCCTACCTACCTTCCCTCCCTCTTTCCTACCTACCTACCTTCCCTCCCTCTTTCCTACCTACCTACCTTCCCTCCCTCTTTCCTACCTACCTACCTTCCCTCCCTCTTTCCTACCTACCTACCTACCTTCCCTCCCTCACTCCTTCCTACCTTCCCTCCTCCTGGTTTCCTGGGCATTGTTTTTGGTCACAAACTCCTCAAAACCATGAAATTCATCTTCATTGACACTTCCATCTGTGTTAGAACTGTCACTTGGGAAAATACGGGTCCCAATTCACCGGGGTATAAGGAGTTTCTTACTGCGAGGTATGGTCAACAAGGCGTACTGAAATGGCATTCCCACAATGCAATGCGGGTGCCTCGAGTTTTTTCCTACTGTGCTCGCTTACCACGCAGACCCATTCTCTCACATGTAGGCCTACCAGCTTTCTCCCGCTTGATTTGAAGGCACTAGAAAAAATTTATGCATTTTAAAAGAAGTACGTGACCAACCCCAGCTGTTATAACGTACATGTATGTGACCGACCCTCAAAAGGTTAAAAATAAACACTTACTGTATGTACTTTTAACTGTCAATTTCCTGCCAAGAAACAGCGACCAAAAGAAAGCACTAACCATCACTTATTCTCTACCTCTCCAAACATGCAGATATCAATTTCAATGATCCATATTTAAAACTAATAAACTCCATCTTCTCATACTGCTTTTCTCAGATCCCTTACTAATCTAACCAGTCTTCACAAATCTAAAGAGTAGAACCCGTTTTGTTTAAATAGGACAAATGGTTAAGGATAAAACTTAGTGGAAGAAAACTATTCTACAAGCAAATCTTCAATCTTTTTGCAGTATTGTATTTCAACCTTCGGATTCTCTTCATAAATATTACCTTGTACACAACAGCAATACCAAAAACCACTTTTCTCCACTATGATTTAACATGCTTACACATGTTTTCTGTATGCTTAAGTCCCTACCTCTCAAAGCCACCTCCACCCCATTGCAACTTTTCCTGGAACCTTCGGTATGGCTGCCTTCCATTCTACCAAAGATTTTTACACCCTCAGTAAACCTATCTTGCTCCACATAAATGTGGCATAAATTTAAACATGCTTTTTACACTGACACTATGGACTGATTGAGGGAGGTGCATATGCAAATTCTCCATAAAGAGCAGTATCTGCATTGCAACCACCTGAAAGTAATGTGCATAGAAAAATATGGCAAGAATTGTCTTTTGGAGCTTACTGTTGTACTTAAGTGACCTTAGACTGCTTTGAATTTGGGCAAGAGTAATTTGTAATCAATGAAACAACTACATCAGTCATTGCAAGTATAATTGTTGGTATTCATTGCAATAAAGATTGTGCACTTTTTATGCAATTTGGAAAAATACATTAGAATTAGATAACTAGCCATTTCATCCAAAGTCAATGATTAAATGGAGTTAGATCGGACAAATGTACAATAAACCAGCTTTTGTGTAACGAAGTAAATATTTGAGCTATTTACTAAATTCTAAATGAGGTATATTCATGCATAAAACATGTTACTTTATTCATATGAAAATATATCCTCTAATTTTTCTTCTGCTGAAAGTGGTCTTTAATATGGTATTCACCCAAGTAAAATTTAAACATGGAAGATACAATGTACATGCTATGACAATAAAATTATTTTATTCTTCTACACGTTACAAAGGCTCATAAAAATATTAAAATTATGGTACATCATAAAACTGATCTCACAAGCCTAATATATTTGGATCAAGAGTTTTGACCATGTAATCATGGTAATAAACCATTATCCCTAGTGGCTGACCAAGGATGAGTGAGGCCCAAACAATCAGGTTGCCCAAACGTGGACCAAACTTTGCCTCCACTTTTGTAGATATGTATACCAATGGTACCTAAAAACAAAAAAGAAATATGTAAAATACACCATACCAAGGAGAACCAATCAATGCTCAAGTCTCTGTAATAGTAATTTACTTAATATTATTAAACTGGCTGAACATTTGAAATGGACTAGAACAAACAAAGGGAGGGGGAGTACCAAATGTAGGCCAGATGCTGATTAGAAGTATTTGTACCAGTTTAAACAAAATAAAATATAAATATATATGTTAATATTGAGAGCAATGTGTGGTGTAAATATTATGAAAAGAATTCAGAGCATAGAACTTATGGGGTATGGAGTTACTAAAGGTATAATTCAGAGAGCTAAGGAAGGATTGTTGAGGTAATTTGGGCATTTAGAGGGCAGAGCATAATACAGCAAGCAAGAGGGTATATAAATCTAAGGTGGAAGGGTAGGAAGTCTTCCCAAGAAGGGTTGAGGGTAAACATTTTGATTGTTATGGCTTTGAACATCCAGCAGGCTTGAGCACAAGCGTTATAAAGACAAGTGGTGGTGACTAATTTTTAAGGTTGTGTGTTGCTGGAGTGTGATCAAAGTAACATTTATTGAGAGATTCAGGGAAACTGATTAGCCAGAGTCCTGGAGGTGGGAAGTACAGTGCATGCACTCTGAAAGAGGGGTGGGGATGATTTAATTCAGAGGGTCATTTGAATTGTGATGTCTGTGCATTCCTAGCAAGACAGCTATTGAACAAAATGACAATGTCTTTCCTCTTTGGGGGTTACCCTGTCTTGGTAGGAGATGGCCACTGTGCTAAAAAAAATTAATACTAATTAATAACCACCTTCACATGAAGGTAGTTTACAATTGTTCTGAAAAGTCATCTAATTTTAAGTAATATATTTTCCTGTTACCATTACAGTAAAATAGGTAAACTATGAATGCAATATTTTACCTGAACCATCATGCCAAGAAATACTCCTATTTTGTACATGTGAAGTGGAATGGACACTAGGTATTCATGCAGTGCCGCCGATAATATAAAAACGGCAACTGATGCTGATGTTTTACTATATTTCATGGTCATCATTGGAACAAAGATGTGTCTGAAATATACATTACAGTATTAAGCCCAGATTTAATCCAGATGCATCTAGTTGATTTTAATGTTTATGTTTGAGTACAAATTTAACTGGAGACCATACTGCAATAGTTTTTAGAGAGCAGGTAGATAATTTTTCTTTGATAGCATTCATTAACTGAACTCGATAGGCAAAGCTAATCTATTCCAATAAATCAATTTTCTTTTCTAATCTATTCCAAACAAACTTTTGAAGCAAGACTGGTATGGATGTCATTTAAGGGCAAGTTTTTAAACTTTGACTGGAGAAAATATACCTAACATTTAATTCATGGCCAGTTTTAACCCTTTCATTGTCCAGACCAAAATTTAATATTGCTTTCTCTGCAAGAGAATCTTTCTGAAGATTATGTCACCAAAAGTCTAAATTTTTTAACAAACTTAAGAATTACGCCAGAAAACTTATGGAATTACACCAATGCAAAGTTAGCAGTCCTGGGTGCAATTTACATATCCAGTTTTGCCTACCAAGTCTTATTTTAAGCCAATTTCACTGCTCCATTCAGCCAAATCTTAGGCTTTTTGCTAGTACTGGTATGCCTTCTCTTCTATTCTAAAAATGGCCCAAGAAACTGCTCATTCAACACCCTATGCTGTAAGGTAAAAAAAAAAAAAAAAAAACAAAAGCCCTTGTGGCTTAGCGCTTCTTTTTGATTATAATAATAATAATAATCAACTACTCTATAAAGTGCACAGAAGTTGGTAATATCATTAATTGTACACAAAATTAAAGAGTACCAATTTAAAAGTTGTCCAAAATAAACAATGTAGATATTCTTGTCACTAAAACATTACTTCTGTTTATTAATCACATCCCCAAGCCTGTACTATATTATGCTTGCCTTCCATTCTGTATTCATAATCCATAAAAAAGAGACTTTCTCGGGTAATAAATTACAAGAAATGATTGGTCATGCTTTACAGCATCCCAATAACAGAATCAGACCTATTAACCCTTAAACTGTCCAAACGTAGATCTACGTTTTTTTTCAACATTTGAAAGTATGTAAAAAAACGTAATTTTTTTTTTTTACATTTGAAAACGTGTAAAAAACTGATCCACTTTCTTGTTATATTTGAAAATATGTAAAAAAAAAAAAGTATATCTACTTTTGGAGCACTACGCATGTGAACATAGATCTGTTTGGACAGTTTAAGGGTTAAAAACACATAAACAGACTGGGGGTGCAGGGCAGCCTTACCCATCCTCAGGAAAGTAAAAAAATTAATATTTCTGCTACTTTGAGCCTAATTTCAAGCTACTTCAGGTTCTAAAACCAACCAAAATCTTCTTTATTTTAGTAGCATGTCATCTCTTCTATCAAAAGATACCAAATCAGTCAGCTAAACCATAAAAACCATCCTAAAAAACCCCTTCAGGGTCCAAGGCCAAAATCTGAAGTGGTGCTCCAGTGTCCAAGAAATTTTGAAAAAAAAAAAAAAAAAAATCCACATACGTGCATTGCTTTATTTAGCAGTTTTTTTCTTTTTTTCTTTTCCTACTAACATTTGGGGCCTGAGAGACCAATACTGTATATAATGTATATATATAAACTTACTGTATTGAACACAATAACCGCACTAAAGTTATAATTTGTTTCCAATGTGTTTATTACAATCAACATGCACCAAATCTTGTATAATACCACTGGACATGCGGTTTTAGAAACTGCTGGGAGCTTGTGGAAACTCCTGAAACAGCACCATGCACAGAGGCATCTTAACATTCCTTCACATAAAAAACCGAGTGTCTTTGTTGCCGGTGTTTTGTTTGGACACATGGGACAATGCATCTCTTCTGAGCAAATTTCTTCTGATTGGAAGGAGCTGTATTATGAAATGATCACCTTCCTCCTCAATCGCTTGGGTATTATTATGAGGGTTCGAGGACCTTTTTGTATGCAGGTGTTGTTATCTGGTACTTCATTATGTGTTGTCTGACAACAGACAAACAAAATACACATACGGCTTGGTCTGTTTTGCCAGTCTTCATTTGGTACATATTATTATGCATTGAGCATTGAAATGTCCTATGAAGATGGAAGAAAGAAAAGTTTTTTTTTTTTCAAATGTAAACCAATTGCTAACTTTTAAAAACACATTAACAAAACCAATCTGCATGTCACATTTGTCAACCAGTGCATGTTTTTGTGTATAACAATCACTGTCACTGGTTTTTCAATGTTCATTAGTTCACTTTCAACTTTGCCCACTGATCTTGCATTTCATTACGGTGAATGGTTGTCAACAATGCGAATCTTGGTTTGTCATGCCACCGTATTGCCATGATGTCTTTGGCAGTAAACGCCTGCACGTCATCACACGAGCACATGCGTAGTGCCTGGGCATATGTTTACGATTAGAATGCACAGTCACACACATCTGTCTTGTTCACTCGGCAAGAAATCACCGAGTAATGAGTTTGTGTAACCAGGGATTGGTATATAATGTATGCCCTTTACAAGATAAGGTGCCATCATGTGCTACTAATCACCTGAGATAACCCAATTAAACATCTTGGTATCTTTCATGTTTTACTTACCGTGTAATACAACAATATCCAATACCAGGCCACTGTCAGTCACAGAGTCAATCAGTTGTATACCAATGCATTTCCTCTTGCCTCGGTATTTTAACTGCTTGAATGACAGCCTACCTTTGAAACAAAATCAATGGACTCGTCAATTACAAGATTTCTTTATGGATAAAAGTATATGCTGAAATTTTTGTTTGAGATACATAAAAACATTTCTAATCTTGTATAACCTGTCACTTCTGTCAGGCCTGGTTTTGTCAGAGGCAACATACGTAACAGTAAGATAAACCTGTTCACTGGGATGATTTCACTGAAGACTGGGGTAGAAATTAGCCGATCTGTGGACCAGTATGCTTTTATATTATGCTTATAGACACGAGGCATAAGCATTATTGTTGCAAAAAGCAAATACATTTCTGCAACAGTCGTCTCTTTCCACCTGTGTAGTCTTGACTGTGGCGAGTTGATCGTATTTGCCATGGTGTACTCAAAATGCTTATTACTTTCCCTGACAATAGTTTCCATCAATGGCTGGTCAAAGAATTCCAGTTCATTTGCAGTGTTTCCAAGGGGACAAGTTGGTAGAATTCCACTTTCAGAGTCATCAAGGTGGTGGGGCTTGGGAACAAAATTGGGATTTTGCTGCCAATCCCTGATACAGTTTGCTGGTGGATACTGGACATCATAGGCTGGTTGTGTGGGTAGTTGTGGTGGGCTGGTGGCTGACGCTCCGCTTTGTCCTTGAACTGCGGAGTCAGCAGCGTGGGTCCCAGCCTGGGCTGGCGAGTCACGCATGGCCGTGGCACTACCATCACCACTACCACCATCTAGTGATGTCTGTGGTCTATCCATGCCAAGTGTAGCTACATCATCCTCACTATCTATACCTGGTGTAGGGCCACGGGATGTACTCCGTCCCCTGGGCACGGCATAGGGTACACTACCCAAGCACATGTAGCGGCATACATACCGACGCTTCACTGGCGAATATGATTCCTCACTATCACTACTCGAATGATCGTCAAGAGCAACAAAATCACAATCCCCATCACTATCATCATGATTACTGAAGTCAGAGGCATGGCCACGCGAAAATAATAGTTTTCTCTTTCGTTGAGGTACAACCGACCGTGACTGACGAGTGCCCACACCAGAGGTAGAAGGTTGAGGATCGTCAAGGTTTTCTGCACTATTATCGATATCCTGGTCATTCCTTTCGGTCACTAACTGATCAAAGCCAAAGAATTCGTCTTCATTTCCACTTCCATCACTGTCAGAACTATCAGATAGGAACAGGAGAGTTCCAATTTTCCTTGGAGAGCTGCCTTGCGACGAGGCATGGTGAACAAGGGTAACTGAGCCGGCATTCCCACAATGCTATGCGAGCACCTAGATTTTTTGTTTATGGCGCACACCCACCACGCAGACCCGTTCTCTCACATGTAGGCCTATGAGCATTTTTGCGCTAAATTTGACAGCGCTAGAATTTTGGCATAGATGTACGGTTTGGACACTCAACGTGAAGCTGTAGATCTACGAGACGGACCCTGAAAGGGTTAAATTCGTTTTAACCCTTTGACTGTTGCAAGCCCCTTTCTGAAACTCATTTTATTCTCTATAAAGAATTACAATGCCGAGTTTACAGAATTTGGTTATTGTGTGGTTTGTGGGTCCCTAGAATCTGAGTGTGTTTTCCAGGTCTTTTTTATATCTCCTCTTGTGTCAGTGAATCTACTGGAGTAGTATAGTTGTTTGGCTTTCTTTATTACTTTGGTGAGGACTGATGAATAGTGTTTAAGAACATCTTTGTGTATTAGGCCCTGTCTATATTGCTTTTCATATTGGTGTTTCTTATCAATGGATTTCAGAATGGTGCTGGTTAGCCATGGGCAACCAAGCCGTTGTTTGTGATCTGTTTCGTTTTTATAGGACAATGTTTGTTGTATAGTCTAAGTAATTTGTTAAGAAAAATGTCTGTCCAGTCATCAATACCATTGACCTTGGAGAATTCTGTAGGCCAGTCAACAGTATCTCTAGGTCAGCTGGTTTGAACTTCCCTATTGAGGCCTTCATAATGGAGTCTAATGAAATTTGTTGTATTCAAGTTGTGATTTACTAATGATTTGTTCAAGTGGAAGGTTAGGTACTAGTGGCCCTGTAGTGCTTATCTGTGATTATCCTGATTTAAGGGGACTGAGAGTGGCTAGTATATTGGTCCTTATGTGGTATATTATGGTTGCACTTGTTTCAGTGATTTATTATTATATATAATCAAAAAAGAAGAGCTAAAGCCCAGGAGACTATACAGCGCTGCAGGGCAGGTGGAAGCGAGGGCATAGGTGGCAAAAGGGTGAGGGATGAAGTAATAGGTTACGGAGGCATAACAGGGGGCATGGATGGTGAAAGGGTAAAGGGCAGCAAGAGGCATG